AGCACATGCAAAAGAAGGCCTCGTGTTGAAAAGCCGCACATCCATATTCTGAACCCTGCTGGCCCAAAGACCTAGACTAGCAAAACCCTAAACCCTAAACCCCTAAACCCCTAAACCGTAAACCCTTAACCCCTAAACCCTAAACCCCTAAACCCTAAACCCTCCTCCAGTGGCGGCCCATTGGAGAGCGCCGGTCGGTGACGGTCCTGAGCTTAGGCTGCTCGGGAGCTGGTCCTCGGAGCGACTTCTGGGTTTATGTAGGGGCGGTTTGGGGTTTAGGGGTTTAGGGTTTTAGGGTTTAGGGTTTAGGGTGTAGGGTTTAGGGTTTAGGGGTTTAGGGTTTAGGGGTTTGGGGGTTTAGGGGCTAAGTAGGGTTTAGGGGTTTAGGGTTTTAGGGTTGAGGGGTTTAGGGACTAAGTAGGGTTTAGGGGTTTAGGGTTTGGGGTTTGGGGGTTTAGGGGTTTAGGGGTGAGGGTTTTTAGGGTTTTAGGGTTTGAGGTTTAGGGTTTAGGGGTTTAGGGGTTTAGGGGTTTAGGGGTTTAGGGGTTTGGGGGTTTGGGGGTTTGGGGTTCAGGGGCTCTAATAATCACCAATACTAATTTTTTTGGGGGTTCCTAAGTATAATGTACACTCTACCGGAGCCCAGAGCTGAACAACCCTATGTTCTAATTTTTAAGCCCCTATATTCATTTAGGAACCTGATTCAGAGACCCTGAATCTTTATTTGGGTCCTTGATTCGAATCCTACTGTTTTGGGGTTATGGGAACCGGATTAAGAAACCCTGGGTTTTTATATGGGCTCTTGATCTAATCCTATTAAGTCGGCTCGATAGGACGATGGTTTCTTCTTCATCAGGTTCCTACACTATGGGGCTTGAGAGTTGGAGCTTGGGTGATTTACTCTATAGGGCTCTTGGGCACTATTTTGGCTTGGCCCCTTTTTTGGGGTGTAAACCCTAAGCCGTAAATCCGAAACAAGCTACGTCCTCGATTAGGTCCCCCCTGAGCTTTGCAAACAAGAGCACTAAACCCTGAATCCTAAACTCTAATCCCTAAGCGTTGCACCCAAAACTCTAGACCCTAAGCGTTGAACCTGAACTTAGTGGCTGAGTAGGTAACCTTTAACCTTTTGGGGCTCTTATAATCCTACTACATTTCAAAAGGGTAACCTTTATTGGGCTAGGGTACTCAGCCCCTAAAGAATGCTCCAACCTGCATACCGGGGTTTCCGAAAATAGGGGACCCTAATATAGTGCCCTAAATAGTAGGATTCTTATTATAAGGACCCCAAAATAAGGCACCCTCATTTTCGGAAACTCCCATACTCGGCCTCCTGAATGGAAGCCCAAGTCGCGGCGAGATGCGACCCCCAATCCAGTCTTTCCCAGACTCCCAATTGCTTTAATTCAGGAATACACCTTAAGTTCTTTCAGGAGTCCTACTATATAAAGGGGTATTTAAAACCTAAACCCTAAACCCAATATACTCCTTAGGTCAAGAGATAGTGAAAGGGCTAGGTTGCCCCAGGTTGGACCTTGATAAGGCCAGGGTATTTTCGGTTTAGGATTTCGGGGTTTAGGGTTTAGGGGTTTAGGGCTTAGGGTTTAGGGGTTTAGGGGTTTAGGGGTTTAGGGGTTTAGGGGTTTAGGGGTTTAGGCTTTAGGGGTTTGGGGATTTAGGGGTTTA